GCATATTTAAAGGCTTTACATTCGTTTGATGCGTAGTCATTTTTGTTAGAAATATGGAATAACATTTTATCGGCAAATGACCAAAAAAAAGGAACTGAAATAATAATTATGTAACCATCATGCGCGTGCAGAATGATATTTCGCGTACGAAAATATAATCTTTTTTGAGGGAAATAATAAACAGATAAATTTCGATTAGCGCTTTACGATGCTTACGATAACTTTAAAACCTGTGTAAGATTTTAAGAGCGTTCGGTTCCTGAGTTAAATTGTAAAATGTTGTTATACGAGTACATTGTTTTCCCGAAAGTCTGGATGCTTAAAAAGCAAGGCAGATTCACAAACCACAAGTTCAGGAGTATATTGTCTTACAAGATTTAAATAGAATTTACTATGTAAAATTTTGATATGACGTCATCAAATTTTGGTTAGCATTTTAATAGCATTTACACGATATTCCTAAAATACATTTACAATTTTATACAAAACAACCCGGTAGTTTCGGAGATTATATGTGTAATAAAAATCGACCCCGACGATAGACAGACGGAAACGCAAAACGTAATTTTTCTCACTCTAGGGGTCATGAAACGTCAAAAATAATATGAAAGCAGCCATTCGTCGGATGGACCTAATGTGACTCGATCTTGAAATGTGTGAGAAACTAACTGAGTTTCTCTTCTGCCTGAAGACGGTACTGTGTACCGAAACACGTGTAGCAGTAACTACGAATATATTATTTAAACTCTGAAAGTTTTTTCATTATTATTAAAATTAATATGGAGTTTAAACACGTATCAGCCTCATCAATACAAACAGGAAATTTACATGTAAAAACAGAAACTTGAAAATATTGGCACCCCTAATTATTTTAGAGCAAAACGGTAAATACAAAAATTGTGGAGAACAAAAAACTGCATCTAAATCTTTTTTTATTTGTTTTGTAACACCTTATGATATTGAAATTAAAAGAAAATTGTTACTTTCCTAAAGGCGTCTTGATATTGATAAATTGCAGCACATTCAGAAAATCGTATCGTCTGACCGTTGAGTAGTCAAAGTATTGCGAATGCAATTGTCTAAACACAAACGAGTTTTTTGCAAAATATTTGTCAATAATACCTCAATAAATCTTTGAAATTTACTTACATTCTACTTTCCGTACTAATGCGGAAAAGTATCTCTTTCCGTATGAGTTGGCGTACTTAAACTAATCTCTTTCGCATCCCAGTAAGCTTATTTACTACAAAATAGTAACCAGTGCAGTATGTCCATCTGTGTGTTAACATTTCAACTTGTCAGTGTGTTTAGGAATGAATTAAATGACAGATCGTTGAAGGAAGTGTGGCAATCAAATTTGAATTAAAATTACGCGCTGAAAAAAAAACAACAGCGCGAAATCGCATTTGAATCATTTGCATTTGAAAAATGTAATCAAGAAAATCGTTAAACCTAGGCAACCAAGTGCAAGTTTAGTTATTTTTTGGTAGTTAGTAGCTCTTGTAGGGAATTTTTGGGTAGTATCTAGTGAGAGGGTTGGGAGTGAAATGTGCTTGCTTTGTAGAGGGGTGACGCGTCACTGCTAAATTAAGTTTGGTTGGTTTGGTAGTTAGAAAAAAGGAAGAAGCCTTTGTTTAACGAAAATTAATCTAATCGATAACAACGCCACAGTTTCCCTAACAAGCGTAGCTAATTCTTGCGGTTTTTTCCAAGCGGAAATGGGCGAATATTTGACCGACGCTAACACTTAGTGTAAATTTGTTTTATTGTTTGTAAATTCACAGTTCATGTTAGGATTTTAATCGTTAACTGGTTCCAATACAATTTAAGTCATGAGATTGTTCAGATAAAGCATTTGCGTGGAGATTTCATGAGATTCACTTAGTCAGGACTCATCGTTTGTTTATCAAGTTATAAATAAGGTTTCTGGATGCTTATACTTAAGTGTTACATTATACACTTCTTAATTCTTCACACAAGATTGCTAATAGTTCATTTACGGCAGTTAAATTTACCTAAAGTTGTACCATTCTGGGAAAGGGACCGTGGAAAGTGCGGTAGAATTCATAATATCGTGGACTGAGGGACGAGGGGATTAAACATTTTCCCCCTTAGGCAGTTATCATCATCACATTACCGAGACACAATTCTCGCGCTGTTGGAAATTACAAGATCGAGATTTATTTCTCGCGACGAGGGATGCATTTTGTGTTTATTTACCATGTGTCTGTTTGGGATAAGCTGGGAACAGTCCAAGATATAAATGTTCAAAGCTGAATGTTTTTAAGTAACCAGTCACTTGGATCAAGGCATCATTTCACATCATGTAAATTATTTGTTTGAATCGTTGATAAAACCTGGCAAATATTAAACTCATGTAATTTTGTTAGCTTTGCAATTTTTCTCTATCTCGCAATTATAGCTTCAGTAATTGTCTTTGCTGTATAATTTAAATTGAACATAAATTTTCATGCTCTGCAGTTCCTAATTTCACGTAAATTTTTTGTCTGCACAAGTTTTACCAAACATCAGATCTTTTTTGTTTTTATAAATCTGCTAGTTATTTCTACCACGTAAATATTTTGTTGATTAATGCTTCCATCATATAAATTGTTTGATGTCCACTCTTAACCTCAGATAAGAACTCTGTGCTGTTTAAAATTTCACGAGAGTGTACGGCGAATTTAAATGTTGTTTATTGCTCTTTTTGAAACTTTAACACTTGTCCGGTTATAGTTTAATATCAGAGTTATAGAAAGTGAACATTTAAAGTGGAATTGAAGGAAATAACACAGAAATACGTAGCAGAAGCGGAGGGCGCGGTTCCTAGTCGAACTGGCCATCTGCACAAAAGACCCAGATCTTGCATAGAAGTCAGGAGAGCGATCTGGATGCCGTGACACTCGCGGCCGGGATTTCCAACCACGAGTTTACGACCGTAACGGCCTGTTAGCGCGGCTTCGTTAGATAAAGGGGTGCTGAGCGGCATGTGCTTGTCGATAGAGTAGAATCATCGTCGTGGTGGGAGAACAGCCATTACCAGGAGCCCCAAACTTCGCTCGCGCAACACCACCTATGGGTAATTTTGCTGTGCTCTAGAATGAAACGGACATAGTTCGATCACTATACTCTTTTAGCGACTCGGGTGCCCCCTCAACTTTTGGAGTCATAAGCATTCACGAGGATGCGTGCGCTCTGGTGCTCCTGTAGCTGTGCGCCCCGCTGCATAGTTTTGTTAAAAATTTTGTTCTCTTGTTGACAGCCATAATTTTAAATTCGCCGCCACACGTCTGTAATAACTTGTGTATTTGCATCTAGTTACTTTACTTCAGATTTTTCTTTGTTTTTATTAAATTTGTGGTATTCAAAATATTTGCATTTATGCAGAACGTTTAATTTGATTTCATTCAAAGTTAGGCAAGTTTTTTGTGTAGCTAAGCACTAAGAGGTTTTCAACCTGCCCAATTTAGTCGCAGCTTTTTTTTGTCAGTGGAAGAGTAAATGATTTTGTGTCCTCTATCTGTTGTGTTTTATTCAGCGGTACTTTTCCAACCTTGGGGTCCACTACCATCTGAACGTATTCCACTACAAAAAAAAAAAAAAAAACAAGCCATTTTGTTCGATGATCACAGCTTGAATTTTTTCAACTTTCGCTGGCTTTAATTTTTTTTTTCACATATCATTTTAAGGCAGGATGTTTGGGTTATCAAAGGAGAATAAATCGCTACGGTTTGTGGATGGTGTTGCGTGCGAATCGTGTGATTGGTGTAATTGGGTATTAAATAACATTGGCATAAATGTAAAAAAATTGGTCGAACCTTGTTTCCACTAACTTCGCTTGCACCTAAAGTTCAATGAAACATATCCAGCATTTTCGCGTTGAGTTTTTACTTTACAGTTTTGTGATGACGTCATCAATATTATATTTCCAAAATTTTCTGGGAACCTGGAGTGAGCAGTTCTTGATTTAATTAAATTTAAAAATAAATTGACTTATTCATTAATTTTTTTGAGCCACCTGTATTGTATAAGCAAATCTAAAAAATCTTAATGCAATGATAAATTACAAGTGTAGACTGATCAGATTTTGTACATTTTAGATAGGATTTATTCATAAAAATTTTGAGATACCGTCATTAATTTGTTGGGGTTGACAGATACGTTTTGATTAAAAAATTAACATTATAATAATTTTAAATCGTCTGCAAGATTTCAAAGTATACAGTTTTGCATTTCTTGATTTAATCAATAAAATAAATTGACTCAGTCATTAATTTTTTTGAGAATTCCCGTATAAGCAAATCTAAAAAATATTAACGCAGTGATAAATCAGTATAGACTCATCATATTTTGCACATTTAAGATTTATTCGGCAAAATTTTGAGGTCATCAATTTTTCAGACGGGAAGAGCAAATACATTTTGATCAAAAATTTACCGTGCTTATGATAATTTTAAAACATCTCCAATATGTCAAAGTATTCAGTTTTGCTCATTCAAAATTAAATTGCATGTTTTATTCTTTTTGATTTTTTTTTTCCAAAAATTTGGACGTTTTGGGTAAAAACTCAGCACTGAGCCATAAACTACATGTGTAGGATTATTATTATGTTATTTTATACAATATTATGTACAATTTTGAGGTAACTTATCACATTATTGATGGGGATGATTAGACAAATTTTGGTTAGCGTTTTACCATCCACATGAGATTCCTAATACAAATACAAAATTTGACAACAGATTGTTCGCCTGTACTTCCGAGGCGAGCAAGTTCTGCCTAAATAATTTTGGACCAATTTTTTTCTATAAAACTTATGCAAAATGACTCGCAATTTATTATTGTAATTATTATGCATACATTAGTATTAACAAGAGACAGTGTGCTTCTTTCGACAATCTAATTAACGCAAAATAAAACTTAATTTGCCGCTTTGCTTACGCCTAACGGTTTTTGTTACATTGGATGCGTTGCTGCTAAATCATTAAGTAGTACGCACACGAAATACGAAATGTATTGAACATTCATTCGGTTGCTGTGGATATATTACATTTATGCTATATATTTTTCGAAGCAAAACAAAGAAATATTTTATCACTGTTGACCTAACCCCAAATTAGCGCGCAAACAAACTAAATCGAAGCCCTATTAGTTACACATAACGTCACAAAAGCTTCCAGTGATATTTCCATTACATTATAACTCCGCTGGGTCACATCCTCGTGTCGACAGATCTGTTTAAAATGGTTATTCAAAGGTTAATGAAATGCGTCACGAATTCTGCCATAAAGCCATCTCTTCGTGTTCCGTATCAACATTTCACGAGCAGGTTAATACATACCACACGTTTAATTTTGGCAGGTGAGTACTGACAGGCATAACCGTTTTTAATTTTAACAAAATACATTTTTGCATTAGAACGGTTGTACACAGACAAACATGAATGGATCGAGGTTGAAGGATCCACCGGTAAAATTGGAATATCACAATATGCTCAGGTAAGCACTTATTTATAGTTATCGAGTCTACCTTGCCACGAGGCCATGTCAATTTCCACTCACGGTTTGTTGCCAATCGTAGGAGGCTCTTGGCGACGTAGTTTACGCACAGCTACCAGATGTCGACACTATCTTACAACAGAAAGGTGGGAAAATCAAATTATAGAGTATCTTGTAGGTACCTACTTTTTAATTAAATGCTTATATTGTTGCACTTTTAGATGAATGTGGTGCATTAGAGAGCGTTAAAGCCGCAAGTGAAATTTATAGTCCAATTTCTGGAAAAGTTGTAGAAAAAAATTTGAATGTTGAAGAAACACCCTCGTTAATAAACGCTTCATGTTATGATAAAGGTAGATACGTCCATTATTCATTCTTGAATGTTAAAATAATACGATTTTTTCTTAATAGGTTGGTTATTCAAGGTAGAATTATCGAATAAGGAAGAACTCAGTAGTTTAATGTCAGAAGAACAATACAAGACATTTGTTAAAACTCAAGACCATTAAACATCAAACTGTGTAAATGCATTTTAATTAAACCAGATTAATATTGAAGTAGTGATGCATTAATTTTATCTTTTGCAATGACAAAAGGACGTCATTTTGTCCTCATATTACTACGTTGCCTATTAATATGTTATGGTAGCAAGTAATCAGGAATTTCGTAAAGGTTATCAATAATTTACATACGACTTTTAGAAAGTATTTGGTTAACTACATAAGATATATGTTTAAACAAACACGACGAGATAATTTCAAAGTCAGTATTTGTTGCATTAAGCATGTTATTCATATTAATAAATTTATTGTTTAGAATACAAAAATGTAATGATATCACAAAACTGTGAGATAAAAGCAACCCCACCACACTTTTGTATGCGTATTATAATAAGTTAGGTTTGCCATCGAAAATATGTTTTTACGTTACTTAATAAAAGTGATCTTTACAAAACAGTATGCATTGTACAGAACATGATATTGTAGATCGGTGTAAAGACAGCAGCGATTGTAGTTCGAATCGTAATTTCATGCAGGGGGCACACATAAAACTATATTGTTGTTAGTTGTTGTGACACTATGAAGCCATGTACGTGAGCTGTCTAGCCTTTGCTACAAAATATAGTTCCAACAAAAAGTCAAATATAAGGAATGTGAGTGTACACGGGCTTATACCATTGATGTAATACGCTCCGTAATACGCTTTTCAGTACTTGTGGCACCATGAAATTTCGTGTGAGCTATCTTTAGATTTTATGATGAATGTTTGAAAACAATTTCAAAATTTAGGGAATGAAGTTGTGCACGGACATTTTATTAAGGGCCTACGTGTTTGTGGCACAATGAAACTCAGTATGAGAGCTTTTTGGAATTTATAATGAATTATGGTTTCAAAAAAAAAAAATGAAAATTTAGGGAATGGGGGTGTACACGGGCTTATATCATCGACGGTACCCCTGTAATACGCTGATCAGTGTCACTATGAAACTCACCATGAGAGCTCTGTGGAATTTATAATGAATTATGGTTTAAAAAAATCAAAATTTAGGGGATATCACTTAGGTCTATAATATGCTTATCTTATCAGTGTTTGTGCCATGGTGAAATTCAGGTGGGGGATCTTTATTATTTATATCGATTGTTTTTTTTTTTGAAAAATCATAAATTTTAACGACCTCACACACTGATCGTGGCACAAACACTGACAGACGTATTACAGAGGTGCCGTCTATGGTATAAGGCTGTGCACACCCTCATTCCTTATATTTGCCTTTTTGTTGGGACTATATTTTATAAACTACGCACGGTGAGAGATTGAGTGACAGAAAAGTCACTAACTCCACGCAAAAAAGTGTACCATTCGCGCGAAATTGAAATTTCAAAATAAATTTAATCTGGTTTCAAGAAAAAAACGGGATAAGATGAGCAAATCAGGTTCTCGTAGATCAAGGAAAAGCAATGGGAATATGAGGTTCATGTCACTGTCATTTGTCCCGTTTTTTTTTAAACCAGCTGTACGTTTTACATTATTCGAGAATTTTCGTAGTGAGTTCCGTTTAGGCGCTATAACTTTATGGTACGAAAATGAATTCCTGGCTTTGAGTTTCATTTATTAATATAAAAAATATTAAATCTACAGAGTAATTAGTTTATCTGTTCACTCCTGAATCACAGTATAGATATCAATAGTATGGACAACTCGTGTCGGCGCCTTTGATCTTTCTGATCCGAATTTTAAGCCTTCTCGGTGGTCGTTGTCCAAAATATTTCTAGATGTCGTCACCCAATTTAAAAAGGATCACAAATAGTCCAGTCAAATTAGCGATCAACCTCGGAATGAGAGATAATAAGCTGAATTTTCGTATATACCTTCATTTTAGCGTTCTAAACGTTGTCTCAAAAGTCTCATAAAATCTCGTGTCTGCGTCGTAAGTTATTCAAGGTCAAAGGTGAAGAAAAACAGTTTTTTGCAATTATCTCGGTTTCTATTGCTCCAATGATGTTAACATCTATTATCGTAATTGTAGAGCACAAAATTTGGGACAAATTTTATTTGAAACATTTTTTCATGCGCTCAATCGTTTTTGAGATAGAGGGCAGTGAGCGCGCAGCGCTCATCCATACGTACTGTAATGCAATCAACCGTGAATATCTGTGAATACTACCTTTAATTTTGAATAATTTGTATTATTTATCAGTTAATACATTGCATTTAATAACATTTTACATATTTTCAATACATTCATTTAATGATAATGATACTTACCTACTTTGTGGAATTAAAAACTCTTTAAATGAAATACTTATTGAATGTATATCTTAATTTATTGAAAGTAGATTTTAAGTAGAAAAATAACTAAGTACTTTATCTTTCAAATGTGTAAGTTTTTATATATTAGATAATATATTATACTTGTTATATTATTATATATCTAAAAGTTATATTAATTTTTTCAAAGTAAAAATTTAAGGAAGTAAAACGAGTTAATGTATTTTAATTTTATCTTTGTTCAGTACCTGTACATTTCTTACGATTGAAATTGAATTCCAGTGAAAATCTAGAAATCTTTAATAATTTAAAGAACAAAAGTATTAATTTTCTTCTTCTTCACCGTCATCTTCTGGACGTTCGGGAATTTCTGTTTCATCGTCATCATCTTCGGTGCCCTGAATCGTTGTTTCCAGACCTTCCAGTTATAATCATGATAGAAAAATAAGTATTTATAACCTTACACATTTTAAAGATATAAATAAATTGAGATATACAATAAATATTTCATTAAATGCGTTTTTAATTAATAATTACACAAAGTAGGTAAATATTATTCAATGAATATGTTGAAAATATGTAAAATGTTTAAATACAATGTATTAATTGATAAATAATACAAATTTTTCAAAATTCAAGGTAGTATTCATAGATATTCACGGTTGATTGCATTACAGTACGTATGGATGAGCGCTGCGCGCTCACTGCCCTCTATCTCAAAAACGATTGAGCGCATGAAAAAATGTTTCAAATAAAATTTGTCCCAAATTTTGTGCTCTACAATTATGATAATAAATGTTAACATCACTGGAGCAATAGAAACCGAGATAATCGCAAAAAACTGTTTTTCTTCATCTTTGACCTTGAATAACTTACGACGCAGACACGAGATTTTATGAGACTTTTGACACAACTTTTAAAACGCCAAAATTAAGGTATATACAAAAATTCAGCTTATTATCTCTCATTCCGAGATTGATCCCTTTTTTATCCTAAAATGACTGGACTAAAACGCTTCATTTTAAAATTGATTCGTGTATACAATTTACTACACTTTGTGCAAATGAATTTTTGGAAAAGACTTAAAAATAGTGTAATAACAATAACATTTTGTAACTAGTTGATCTTAGAAACCACACAGTCTATTATAATAAATAATAATTAATTAAGCGCCCTATAACAGAGACGCCGTGTTGAAATTTAGATGTGGCCCGTTTCTCTGATTACGATTTTACGTTTCATTAATTTCTTTTTCATGATGGCTGTAAATGGTTGTTAAATTCAACGTTATTAGAAAACGCTAATATATGTTGTGATAACCCAAACTTCCCGCCTTAAAATTTGACCTTGAAACAGTTTGAAAGGCCCGCGAAAAATTCAAAAATTCAAAGTTTGGCCTTGGCTGTGATCGTCTAACAAATGAGAACCTACGTTGTGTGTTTTTTTTTTTTTTTTGTTTTTGAAAAGTGGCGGGAAGAAGTTCTTTCATACAAGTGCATACACTGTCGAGAGCGCAAGAAATAATTAACAGAAATTGTTTTGGAGGGGGGGAAACGGCACCACCCTCACAGGGGGAAAGACGCTTCGAAGATTTACTCCTCAGCGCAAAAACCCCCTTTGGTTTTTATTCCCGGACGACATATATATTACATTTCAAACACCTTAAGATATGGGAAAGAAAAACACTCGCGAATTGACAGACATACACACACGAAAAACGAACAAACGGAAATTCTGTACATCTGTTTGGAATCAATGCAAATATTTGAATATCACAAATTTAGTAAAACAAAGCAAAAGCTGAATCAAGTAACTGGATGCAAGTACACAAGTTATTACAGGCGTGTGGCGGCCGATCTCCTTTCCTTTTTTTTTTGTTACGGCAGTTAACAGGAGCACAAGAAAAGTACCCCTGGAGCGTTGTAGCATAAGCGGAGTCTGAGCTACCGGTCTGGAACTGTTCTCCCCCCGCGACGATGATTCTATCTATCGCAAAGCCTACCCCACACGCATATCCCATGACGAACTTTGCCCTGCGGAACTAGGCCATTACGGTCGTCCAACCCGCAAAGATCTCGACTATTGGGCCAAATCGAGAAATTCACAACGTCGGCGGCCGCCCCCTGAATCTATCCAAACCTGTGGACTTGTACAGGTGGCGCGATAAATCTCGCCAGCTCGACTAGGAACCAAACCTCGCTTCTGCCACGTTTTCTGTGTCATTTAACCTCAATTCCATTTTAAAACATTCAATCTCTTATAACTCTGATGTTAACAACAACTGAACAAGTGTTAAAGTTTCAAAGAGCAATAAACAACATTTAAATTCGCCATACAATCTTGTGAGATCTTAAACAACAAATAATTCTTATGTGGGATTAAAGTTGGACATCAAATAATTTATATGATAGAAAACATTCATCAACAAAGTATTTACAAAACAAAACTTAGCAAGGATTTATGAGACGAAAGATCTGGTGTGAAATAAACTTGTACAAATAGAAATGTTATGTGAGGTTAGAACTGTAGAACATGGAATTTACGTTCAATTAAATTTATACAACAAATAAAATTACTGAGGTTAAAATTGTGAGATTAAAGAAATATTGTATGATGTGAAAATTTGCAGAGTTAACAAAATTTACATGAGATTAATTTTTGCCACACTTTATCAACGGTTCAAACAAAGAGTTTACATTATGCCAAATTATATCATGATCTAAATGATTGGTTACTTCAAAAATAATTTACTTTGAGAAGTTAAAATACTACGAACTGGTTACCCCAA